GCTCATCAGGGGCCTCTCGGACCTGACCGCCCGCCGAGAGGAGCGGCCGCTACGCATCCGGGCTCCGTCGAGGCCGATGTGCCACCGCCAGGGCCTGCCTGGCAGCCGAAGCGGGCTCGGCGGCGAGAGCGAGTACGAGCTGGCCACGCGCCCCCTGGCCTCGCTCGCTCAGTTCCCCGTGCTCCTCGGCCCCAGCCGCAAGCGCTTCCTCGGTAGCATCACCGGCCGCTCGGAGCCCAAGGAGCGCGTCTACGCCACCGCCGCGGCCTGTGCTGCCGGCATCGCCAGCGGCGTCGACATCCTTCGTGTCCACGATGTCCGCGAGATGGTGGATGTCTCGCGCACCTGCGACGCTATCTACCGGTCGTAGCGTAGTCGTCGTGCCCTGTTTCACTGAGTCGGACGAGGGTGTGCAAGCGTAAAATTCAAGTGAGACTCCCTAGTCTGCAGCAGGCCACCCGTCGCTTTGATCGAGTTGTTGTCAAGTGCAGCACGGCAGCGGGCGAACTCAGAGCTGTCGTCCGCCCGGGGGGCCCTTTCCAGGCTCCATCATCGTCCTCATCCTCGTACTCTCCCCATCCTCCTTCTCGTCCTCGCCGTCCTCTTCGGCTGTTTGACGGTTGCTGTGTCGGCGTGCGGTCGCAGACTGTCGACCCCTCGAGGCTTTCTCCTGCGCTGCTCGCGTTTCGCGCTTCTTGCGATTGATCTCGTCCCGATTCTTGGCCAGATGTTTGAACCTCGACGCCTTTTGCGCCTCACGTTTGGCAGGATCGTTTGCCAGGCCTTCGCGCCTCCTTTGATTTATCTCGTCTCGGTCGGTTCTCTGTGACTGCGCGCTGTGAGCTCGCGCTCCTCGCGACGGATGGCATCGTAGACCGTGTAGCGGGCCTTCAGTTCCCCCCGTTGCGATCGCGCCAAGCCTCCTGAGAGGCCGAAGCTTCTCTCTGTTGCGAGCACGACATGTTTTCTCGTAGGCTCGCCTCTTCTCCCATGCTCGAGCCTTCTTCCTCTCTGCATCGCTCTTCTTTCCGCGCTTTGCCATGGTGCTGGGCTGGGCTGCCTGGAGAAGAGATGGCTTCGGATGGCGGTCGGCGTGGCCGGATGAGACTGGACGATGTGGGCGGGGGAGGAGCAGGCAGCGTTGAAGTGAAAGACAGACGGAGAGAGTTGCGTAGTGTCGAGAGAGGAGGCCAGTAAGTTCCTGAGGGCGGGGCTCCGGCTTGGCTGCAGAGGGGGGAAAAAAGTCTGCGCGCCAGAGGGACCAGCGTGGAGCCAACGTCGGCCAGAGCGCTGGAGCGACCTCTCCACTCGACCACATCCTACCATTCCAACACATCCTACCAACACATCCTACCAATCCAACACATCCTACCAACACATCCTACCCATCCAACACATCCTACCAATCCAACACATCCTCTCCCCATAAAGTCGTCTTACTCCAAGCTGGCAAGATCCCCCACCATGAACGTCCCGTTCCTGCACAGCGCCTTTCTGACGGTGGCTCCCGACGACCTCATCGTCCTCCTCGGCTCGCATGCCATCTTGTCCATCGACGAAGAGGAGCCCTCCCTTCCCAACGTGGCGAAAGAGTCGTACCAAGACTTCTTCTTTCTTTGCTCCAAGAACCACGTCCACGTTCTCGTCCCACGGGAGGTTGCCTGCGCTGTCCGTGAAGCTATCCGAGGCCGCCACGCAGGGACGCATCCCGATATGCCCTGGGGCGAAGTGACGACCAGACATGTCGTACAGCTGCTCAAAGACGAGCGGTGCGATGTTGTGCGAGTCTGCACCGAGCACCTCGCTCCCGATCACCCCCTCTACGTCTACCTGACTCATGCACCGTTGGCAGACAGGGACATTTCGGATAGCTCCTTCACCATCGCCGTCGACGTTCCAGCCCAACACATTACTCTCGTTGAGGCTTACAGCAACGCTTTCTACAGCGCTCAGCCACTCCTCGGCGGGGACTCTGCTTCCGGAGGCCTGATAGCGGACGATCCGATACCATCCTCGCCAGCAATCCGCCACATACGTATTCAGCCGAGGCTCACCGTCGCCCTCGTCGAGACTGAGAGGCAGATGGACAACTTCATGGACGAGCAAAACGTTTCGTTCATGAACCTGAACGGGGCCATCGATGCAGTCGAAGTTTGGCTAGCGACGATTCTGTCGGCTCCCGAACAAGCCCTCAATGGTGCTCGCATCGAGCTGACCGTGCAAGCACCGACATTCGTACAAGCTCTGGAGACGGCGGAACAGTCGCGCTTACTTCGGTGGGAGTTCCTGCAATCGGACCAAGCGGGGCATCGGCAAGTCTTCGTCGAGCAAGTCACAAGAGAAGCGTATCTTAACAGCACGCATCTAGCCCTGTCCGATGCCAGACGCCAAGCCAACGAACTATTGGCATCTATCCTCCCGAGGAGGTTCGAGATCGATTGGGAAGAAGCGCTTGTCGATGAAGGGAGCCAGATCCTGCTTGACCTGTATCGCCAGATTGGCTGGATGGATGAGCGTTATCGCATCCTCGGCCGTTTTGATCCGAGCTAAGAGTAACGGCCATGCCCGTCACTGTTGCCAAGGTGCTTGTGAAAGACTCCGCGAGATCGTGCGGCGCCTTCTGCAGGAAGGAGCAGACCCGCGCATCACCACTGGGAGCTTCACTAGCGCCCTTTTCATTCCAATTCCTGTGCGGCTCTCGTCGAAGCGTTCTGCATGCGTTAGACCACGGCGACAGATGCCGACACGCGAACTCAGTCAGTGCGACGAATGGCGACAAGGTGCACTTGCAGGCGAGTGATTCGGCCCTCCTCCCGTGACATGGCCACAGAGCGTATTTGGTGATTCGCGCGAAGAAAGAACCTACTCCGCGCAGCCAACACATATGCAGCACACCTGGTCGATGCCTCTGGCTCAACCTCGAAATCTTTTCGCACGACTCGTAGGCAAGCATGTGGCCTACATGAGCACATTGATCTCTGCGCTTGACTACCATGCCGTCCTGGTAGCGTAGCCTGAACGTCGGAATCAAGATACATAGCACCAATCCCGCGGCATGTTAAGTCGCCTCGCCTGGCCTCGCCTCGACCCTCTTACTAGCTGGCCACCGCGGCGTGGGGAGCTGATGCGCCTCTCTTGCAAGTTCCTTCTTCTCGCTCAGCCGCGTCTACAGGATCGTCGGCCACAAGGCCCTTCCGGCCGCGCTGGACGCGGCCCTCCTCCTCGTACTGGCGCTGATGGACAAGGCGCTGGTCGACATCGACGACGACGTCAAGGACCTCTCGACGATGCCGGCGTCGGCCTTGGAGCCGTCCGGCTTCGTCGACGTGCGCATCGAGCCCTCGGCGGCCGATACGCTCGTCATGCGCCGCATCGAGAGCAGCGCCAGCGCCACGGCGTTCGGGTACACGGTCAACGCGGTCGAGGGCCTTGGCTACATCGGCGTGGCGCGCGACTTCCGCCTTATGGCCCTCGCGGCCGGCATCGACGGCCTCATCCTCCCTGGACGACATTGGCGGCGTGGCCCCCGCCGCTCCACGACGCCCGTCCATCCGTCCGCCAGACCGAGGGCCAGGTCGCCGCCGACGCTGAGCCGAGTACCTCGTCCAACGGCCGTCCCTAAACTCGCCGACGCCAAGGCCGCAAAACGATGCCGATGCTCAGTCCGAGGTTCTGCGGCAATGGGAGATTGTTCCGGGTCCGACTCTTTTGCGCCCTTTCGCCTGCTGCGGATCGGGCTCGTCTATTTAAGCGACTGGTAGCTGACCATGGCGCGGAAGGTGGCGCTGGTGCGCAGCAGCTGTGTGTAGCTGCCGGAGGCGACGACGCTGCCGTCCTGGAAGCAGAATACGTGGGTGGCGTCGCGGATGGTGCGCATGCGGTGGGCGATGGCGACGATGGTGCAGGTGCCGCTGCGCGAGATGTCGTCGAGGGTGGTCTGGAAGGCCTGCTCGCTCTCGGCGTCGAGGGCGCTGGTGCTCTCGTCGAGGAGGAGCAGGCGCGGCTTGCGGATCAGGGCGCGGGCAATGGCGATGCGCTGCTTCTGCCCGCCCGAGAGCTGGCTCGACGAGATGAGCGTGTCGTAGCCCTGCTTGAACGACGCGATCGTGTCGTGGATGCCCGCCGCCTTGCACGCGGCGATGATGTCCGCGTCCGGCACCGAGTCGCGCCACGACGTGTCGGGGCGGTAGGGCTCGAGCATGTCGTCGGCGCGGCCGCCGCCGCCGCCGCGCCCGTGCTGCTGCTGTTCGTCGGCAAGCTCGGGCTTGACGCCGAGGGCGATGTTGAAGCGGACCGTGCCGTAAAAGATGACGGGCTCCTGCGGGACGAGGGCAACGTCGCGGCGGAGGACGTGCTCCGAGACGGCGTCGGTGCGCCGGCCGTCGACGCGCACGGCGCCGTGCGACGGGTCGTAGAAGTTTTCAATGAGCGACATGGCCGTCGTCTTGCCCGAGCCCGACTGGCCGACAAAGGCGGCAAAGGCGCCCGAGGGGATCGAGAGCGAGACGCCGCGCAGCGCCGGCTCGGAGCGCGACGGGTAGGTGAACCAGACGTCGTCAAAGTCGATCGTCGCCGGGCCGCGTTGCGACGGGGTGGCGTCGTCGGCGTCGGAGGACCGACGCAGCGCCTTTTCCGGGTCGTCGGCCGTGTGGCCGGCAGCGTGAGCGTTGCGGCGAAGCAGGCGGCCGAATCCGCGTGCACCCCTCTTTTCGTCGCCCTCGCCTCCGTCGCTGCCGCCTGCCTTCTTGCCGCCGTCGCCGCGCCTGGCGGTAGGCGCGCGATCCATGACGCGGAGGATGTTGGCGGTGGAGACGTGGGCCTTGCTGAAGTCGGGCGCAAAGGCGAGGAGCTGGCCGCTGGCCTGGGCGGAAAAGAGGAGGGCGGGGAGGACGATGAAAAAGGCCGTCTGCGAGTACCTGCCCTCTGCGACGTTCTGGCTGCCCCACCAGTAGGCGAACGCGTAGATGAAGTAGCTGATGCTGAGTGCGATGGCGAGGAAGACGTTGCCAAAGAGAAAGTGGCGCAGCGACTCGTTGTAGGGGCGCACGAGGGAGCGGTGGAACTTGCGGCGCACGTCCTCCTCGCGGCCGAGCGAGGCGACGGTGCGGATGCAGCCGACGGCCTCGATGGCCATGGCGTTGGACTTTACGTAGGCCGTCTCGTGGCGGCGCTGGAAGTCGGCGAGGACCTTGAGGCGCATGTAGCCCGAGGCGAGGATGATGGGGACGAGGGCGAGGATGACGACGGCGATGCGCCAGGCGATGGCGTGCGACACGACGATGCCCGCCGTCAGGTTGACCAGGATGCAGAACATGGTGCCGATGACGACGCCCGTCAGGCCGCCGAGGTTGTTGGCGTCGTTGCTGAGCG